CCCCAAAACCCCAAAACCCCAAAACCCCTTTAAATTTGGCTTTATTGAAACTTTAATCTAATTAATTCATCGTTAAAACATGTTGTTAGGACGGCTAAAGCCGGTTGGAGTATTTCCAAAGAAATTATTGATGCCTCCATTTCCATAAAAATTGGCTTCCTGCTCCATATTATACATCATCATATCCTGCTCAGGTGTTGTCTGCTTCTTATCGTAAAGAGCAAGTCTTTCAAGCAAACTATGATTTTCGTTCTTAAAGTTGTAGTCCATGACTTTAGCAGCAGAGTATGTAACCTTTGTTCCTCCTGCATAAGTAGCTATTCTAGCTCGCATAAGTAACTTGTACTTCTTATATTGCTGCCTTGTGAACGCATCTGAATAAGATTGATTGTCCCCTTGATTCTTGAATTCTTTTAGCACATCAGGAGTACAATCCATGATGAGAGGAGCAGTGTCCTTGTAGAAGAAGGTATATCATGTATTTGTGAAATCTGAAAACCGTACCATTAGCATAAACTTGGGTTTAGCTTCTTCATAATCTAAATTTCAAGTATCTCATCTGTATCTTTGAATATCATGCTGGTAATATACCTTCTTAGAGCATGTTTCATCAGGACAAGCCATGTATATTCACTTCTCATCAGATTTAATGTTGTTAATATATCCATTCACACAGAAGTATCAGCATTTATCAGGCGCCTTGCTAAACTGTTCATGTAGAAATTCATCTGACTCTATCAAGAGCCTTTCTGTAGCTTGAGCCTGGTCAAGACTAGATCCTGGGGAGTCAAAACTCAGTCCGACTAGTTGATTACTCTCTTTCTCGATAAAAGTTTTATACCATTCCTTTAATCTCTCAGTTTCCTTTATTTGTGGGTCTATAGAGACAGTGCTTTCTCTGATCAGATTCAAAGATTTGCCTCCATAAAGACTGATTTTAACTCCTTTAATAGCAATAACTGGGTGAGGATTTTGCTCAAAATCTATCATAGTGGTCTGATCTCCCCAAATGCTCAAGTTGATGGACATTCCTGAGTCATCTGCCATTGAGATTGTTCTTTTCTCCTTCCGCTCACCATTCTTAGTGTTGATAGTCACAATAGGAGTAACATGATGGACGACCCCAATGAAATCAATAGTCTTGATGTCTTCCATATCTGCGATTTGCTTTGCAGTTTTAAAGTCGAATGCCTGATCTGCAATGACTCCTTCATCTTCTACTTTTTCGATCTTGCCATGAATCTCAAAATTGATGCAGAAGTTATTATCAATACTAGTGAATCTTTTATTTGCAGGTCTGACTGTTCCATTAGTCATTGTATAAACACAATTTTCTTGAATCACGTTATCAAATTTCAGAACTGCATCGTTGAAGAAACTTGCTTGAATTTGGCTACTAGCAGAGTCAATCAAATCAAGAGTCATGACTACTCCTGACCCTTTCATATTAGTCCAAGATCTTTTGTTCTTCTTGATAACCCTGACTTTGATCTTCCAATCATGAGTATAAGTATTAAGGACTTTTATTGGGGTGTATCAGTCATCTTTAAGACTTCTTTTTCACTTGATTCCACCTTTAATATGAGCTTTGATGTCATCCTTATCAATATAAGGAGTTGGCACTGTCTCAGGGAAATTCCCTGTGAGAATTCGCTCGGTATAATCAATAGGAGTGCCAATTTTATTATACGAGAAGCCATAGATGATCTCTGGGTTGACCTGGATAGTTAAGATGTTAGTCTTATTAACCTTCAACAATCTTGGCCTTATGATTTTGACTATTCCAAACTTCTTATACTCGGTATTCTAAACCTTATAATGAATGACTTACATCATTGGTTGGGGTGCTATCGCTCTTGCATAAGACAACTGTGATAGAAGAAAATCCATCGGATAGTTTAAATCTCATCTTGAACTTTCCTTCAGACTTTGCGCCCATCTCTCTGCACTCAAGAATTTGGAGGGTAAGGTTCCTCTGAGGATCCGTCTTGCCCCAGACTTGGTCGTTATCATGTAAAATTTTGATACCATTTTTGGTTAAAGTTGTAACTGTGTCAGGAGGAAATTCAGAGTAATCAATTATTTCTTCCTTGATCTCCGGAGTGAATTGGGTTGGCTTAATAGGTTCTGAAGAAGTAGGAGGAGGTTGGGTGGTTTCAAGAGGGGGTTTTAAGGCTTCTGAAGTAGGTTTTGTTGCTTCTGAAGTAGGTTTTGTTGCTTCTGAAGTAGATTTTGTTTCTTCTGAAGTAGATTTTGTTTCTTCTGAAGTGGAGTTTGAAGCTTCTAATACAGACTTTGAAGGTTCTGAGGTAGAGTTTGTAGATCCTATAGTAGCTTTTGATGCCTCTGGTTCTTTCTTTTCAGTTTCTCGAGCTGGCTTAGTACTCTCTGAAGTGGGCTTCAAAGCATCTGGAGTAGAATTTACATCTTCCATCGAAGACTTCACAGAATCTTTAACTCCCTCTTTCTTCTCATCTCCCTCATCACACTGCATATTGCTCTTATCCTTCTTCACTTCCTGACTTATTTCCTTCTTTTCCTCAGTCATTATTACATCTTTCCCTCCCTTTTGTACTTTATCATTGATCTTAATAGACATCTTCTGGTTCTCAGAGTCTGACTGGTCGTCTGTAGAATTGTTATCCTTCTCTAAAAGTTTACTCATTTACGGGTAATGGACTAAGCAATCTGATTACCAGTACAAAAGTAGATAAACATACCAATTACGCCTATTCAATATTCTTGTGTTGAATTAATGTTTACAACCAATAATCTTTTCAATTTCAAAAAGAGAGCCAGGGGTTTTGGGGTTTTGGGGTTTTGGGGTTTTGGGGTTTTGGGG